TAGTGTTAATTCTTGACTTTGTTAAGTAGTGGATATTCTCTCACAAAAATGCATTTTTTAACTATAAAACTAATTTTATTTTAAAGAAAATTGAATGCCATTTCAAAATATATATCACCACATTTGAAAAAATAATGGTGGGTAATAAGTGGTTGATAACTATCGGTAGTCACTTTGCCGACTACCGAAAGCTATCTATCGATGGTTCTCAACCCTAGACTGAAGAAAAGGTTTCGCACAGTGGGGCAAATAATTGCGGACTGCAACAAAAATTTTTATTTTCAGGTAGAAAGGCGTAAACCTTGCTGGACTGTTATCGATGTTCCACCCTGTATAAACAATAATATTTATTTTAATCCAAAAAATCTTTTACAGAAAAGGGGCAGCAAACAAAAAATAAGCGTCGATAAATAAAAAACTTTTTCATTGTAATTAAAAAAAACTAAAATTGTTATTTTTCAAAGGAACTATTTCGATGTTTCCTTAAAATCCAATATATACTATGCGATGGTGTTTGTGTTGTCCAAACTTTCTACTTAACGAAAAGTGGATAAACTCGTCAGAACATTTAATTACCGACGTACCCGTAATTGCTGTACACTTAATATCTCTATAATACAAATTCATTGTAACATTGAACGCCTTTTTAACTAGCCTTGGTAAAACCCAAACTTTTGACTAAACTTTAGTTTATTTCTCATCATCTCTTTTAGGTGGACCAAAAACTTACTTGAAGATGATTTCCATACAAGGTTATCTGTACTGTTGTGTAAGTATTTAAACTCGCTTCGCGACGAGAAATTCATATTCAGAAAACTGTAAGTAAATATTTTAACATGCCTAGTTAAATGGCTTTTGAAATTATGTCTCCCTAATTATATTTGTGAAGTGAAATTATTAAATTGCATTTTATCAAGTTTACAAGATTGGCCTAAATTCTTTGATTTTAATTTATTATAAGACCGTTTAAACATTTTTTATTATTTCGTGAAAATTTTAACTTTTTAATTAAATAGTCGAGCCGATCTAAATAATCGATTTTTAATAAACAATGTGGCCCCATAAAAACTGTCAATGCAGATAACTGAATCTTTCTTTAATTAATAGGCTTTTAAAAATGTTAATTGACTGTTAAACTTCAGCTTTACTACACACCTATTATATTTTTTAATTCCAATTTTAATTTTAATAGTATATTGTGCGACTAGTCACTTCAACCAGTGACTAAAACGCCATACATTTAGTCACAATAGCTTTCATATATTCTGTGATATGTACCTAGGTACAGCTGTTATGGAATCCTATATTTTTTTGGGGTTTAGTAAATGAAAAAAATATGTAATACATATAATTTATTATATGGGTGATTCCACAAAAGTGGGGCAACTTTTGACCTCATTTTGTTTATATAGTTTTCGTAGAAAATTAAACAGTATTTTGTTATGAGAACATAGATAATATAATAACTGTTCCAGACCGGGCCAGTCACTTTTTCCAACAGTTTCTGAAATATCTGTGTTTTCCAAATTTTAATGCAAAGGAAGTGACTAGTATACCGGAGTAATAATATAAGAAAAATATAAGATTTATTGCAACTTTGAGCATATAATTCATTAAATATCTTAAAATCAAATAATACCACACATCAGTGGCGGCTGGTGGATTTTGGGTATACCGATATCTCAATTATTAGATATGGGACCCACACCAAATTTATATGAGTTTATATCGACATTAAATAAACAAGTTCTGCGCAAGCAGAATTTAAATTGAAGTTCTCGAAACATCGAACATGGAACTGACGACAAGGTACTGATGAATGGGATACAAATTTGATATTATAATTAGGAGTTAAGTATTTTACTGATATTTTTTATTAGTGGATGCTACTTATCAACAAATCACATATAGCCTTATATAAATTACATAAAAAAATAACTACTCACCACAGTACTGAAATGTTGACTGGAACTATACGTGCATTCACCACAACTTCGCCGCTTGCATTGTTTTCAAGATGAATGTCGTGCAAAGGGCGGGCTCTGTAGGTAATTTTTTCCCAACACTTGAGTTAAAACGAAGACTTGACGTTTAAACTTCAATATTTCGCAGTTTTTTTTAAACAAAAACATATCTAAAAAGATTGGTTAAAAATGCTAAAAAAAGATACTCCTGTTTGAAGTCAATAAAATACATGGTTTTCGTATATATTTAGAAGAAAAATTGTTGTTCTATTCCATGTATAAATCAGTGCTTTATGACTGATATAAATTGTATCAACAGATTTAATTTTTATGGTTAAAAGCAAATGACACAAATATCAAATAAATCTTGATGAAATTTTCAACGTTAGTGCATAGTGCATTTGTAAGGGCTTTTAATGGCATTATAGAAAATCGATATGCATATTAGCGCTTTAAAATAATTACTTATTATAATTATTACTAATTATAATTACATTGTCTTTAATGTTAAAGAAGGTATAAAGGCTCCATAATTTAATGCAGGTATCGGCTTTTGGGTAATAATGAACTTAAAATCAAATAATAATAGAGTGCTTTAATGCTAATATATGCATGCCTTCTGAAACAAGAATGTTATAGACATTTTGCAAAGTAAAAGGACCACCACTGCACTTATCAATATAAGTAGTAAAATTGACATTTTCTTTGATATCAGCCTTTTTAGATAAAAGCTATCATTAAAATCATTTTAGCGAAGAGTTTAATTTACTTATACTTTAATTATGCGTGATTAAGAAACTTTTATCTTTAATTTGTCTATAATTTAAATTTAAAAAGTTAATTATTTTCGAACTGTTTATATTTTTGCACTATTTTATTTCAACAAAAATCTATTAAACTTGCTGAAATAATGCAAAAATATATAAATATATAATAATAATAAAATTGGTACATTTTTAAAAAGCAAAGAAATCCTAAACAATGGTAATTTATTAATTGTAATGAATAAAATATTATATATAGTGTTATATTTACAATAAGGATAAATTTAAAGATATTGAAATCGATATTGTTCTCCTTATAGCAAGCAGTCACTCTTATATATTTGTGTCACTGTGTCTGAAACGTTCTATCACATACCGCACATTGCCTCATTTATCTATAAAATTGATATAATAAAAAACTTTGTACAAGATTTATTCTTACTTCTCTGAGTTACAAGTATATCCAATTAAAATATACAAAGTTCCAACAAAAATGTATAACGATTATCAATTACTATTTCATTTCAAAGTAAAAGGAATAAGTTTTTGTAAGAATTACTTAAAAATACTTCAAATAATTAAATATAATTAAATATAATATAATATATTAACCTTTATTTTTAAAATCTGTTAAAATTTTTCATGGGAGTAAAATCGTGTTGTACTGTGTTATATTAAAAAGTAAACATGTATGAAAGGTATGTATGTTTTTAATATTAAAAAAATTAATCAATAAATATTTTTACCCAAGTTCAATGTTAGGGGTAATTATTTTACAATGAAACCAAAAAACAGCAAAGATATTTGATATAATTAACATTGTAGTAATTTTATCTTTAAAAAAATGTTATTTTTTAATTATATCTTTGTTATAGGTATGTTTACCTTCTGAATTTATTTTTTCATATATTTACAAACAAATTATAAATAAATATGTTTAAAATAAATCGCCTATTTATTTTTCAAGAAGTATATATAATATTGTTCTGAATGTCAAAGTCAAAGTTGAATTTACAGTAAATTTCAAGATTGGCTGTCAATTTTCATCATATAGAGTGAATGCGAGTGTTAAAAAATGATATATTGTTTTTCTTACACTACATTTATTTCGTATTTTAAAAAACAATTTGTTGTACAAACTTTTAAGCGAATTATGAAATGTATTACTCATAAAAATCAATCAACATAAAAATAAATAAAAGGAAGATATTTCACAAATTTTATGATCTTAATAACCCTTTTTTTATTGGACAAAAAATTCCAGTTTATCAATTATTCGTTGATAATTAAATTCTGTCTATAAATTCCATCAAGGTATTTTGTATTATTAATAAATTTTATTTTACCTACCTTGAAAATTATTTTAAATTACAAATGTCAACAATCAATTTAATAATACCAAGTTTTGAATGAAACAAAAAGGGAATATGATTTTTATACCGTACTTTAAATAATTTGGTTTAATTCCCATCGAATTTGTTTGTCATATATCATTTATTTTGGAACAGAATAAACAAAGAAAATATTTTTTAATTACTATTAAATAAATACCATGCCTAACTATAAAAATGTACCTTCAAACAAAAACAAGAAATGATTGAATATAATTTTATTTAATTAATATTTCAATAATAATATTTTTAATTATAAATAAACTATACAGGGTATTTCACGTTCACCACGTATTAAACGTTTCCGGGAAACGGCAAAAGATATCTATTTGAAATTTTTCCCTAAAAACCTCTAATGGACGAATGTGAAACACCCTTTATACTAACAAATCTAAAGTTATGCGGTATGTGAGCATGAAGGCAGGTTTATACCTCTTGCAGCCTGATTATTAGCAAAAGGATCTTTAAAGTCATACTGAACCCTTTGAAACCCTTTCAGGTCTGAATGGAAAGCGGCCAAAATAGGCTCATGCACTTCTATGTAATGACATAGCGGTTTCAAATAAACGAATTTATTCATTGCAGAAGTACCTTTAAAAATACTGATAAAGTTCCTTTCAATCAAATAACCAATAACTTCTAATGCTTCTTTCAGTGTTATTCTCATGTGGAACTCTTCTTCCCACATCTGGATCAATTTTGTGATTGTCATCTTTGAATGCATTAACTTCGAGGTTTCACAGGCTATGTATAAAGCGGGACGTATGTCATAGAATTTTGGGGTCTGCTTTTTCTCGCAAATATCACACATCTTTGGGCATCTGTCATTGGAGAAATTTTGGTCGAAATGGTTCATGAAAAAATACCGACGACATCTAAAATTACCGGTTTAACAGTGATTTATACAGCCCGTTCAGAGTAAAACCGAATATAGGGAAACGTATGGGGCGTGGTCTCGCCTCCCTCCAACGCGCGACACAGTAGCTAAGCAAATCGCTAATGAGATTTTTTGCATTATTATCATTTAATTTTTAAGGTCGTCTTACCTGCTCGACCTTTCGTCATGTCGTTTATCACACAAGCTACTGTGACGCGTGACATTCGGTTTTACTCTGAACGGGCTGTATTTTAACTTACACTAAAAGGTTTTGAGCGTAGTTTAAGATATCCAAAGCTTTTGTAATATTTTTATCTTCCCCAATTTTGCAGACGTTGTTAAAAATATCGTATATATTATAGAACAAAATGGCCTCAGCTTTTTGTCGATTTCTCCCGGCTTTAGAAACTTCGTAGTAAAAAACGTCCATGGATTTTGGAGCGCAGAAATGCAAAACGAAGTCAACATCAGGTTTTTCTAAAACACTTAATAATAAGTTTAATAAAAAAAAACATTATCAACTCTTACCAATATCGAACAATGCCTCAGTAGCTGTAATGATAATTTGTATCTCACCATTAAACCATTTATTATGTATTTTGTTTCTTTCTTTGAAATTCAAGCTCTGGGTGTATACAACTATATTTAAGTGATCTATATCCAACAATCTTTTGACTTTAAAAGCCAAGGTAGTGCTAGTAACATAGATTATACCAAACTTGCCTTCAAGATCATTCAAAAGCATATGCTTTAAGAATCTTACACTTTGCTTTAATTTAATAGGTTTACTAACAACCTGAAAAACGCAGTAAAAAACTATACAAAATAAAAAATGTAAGTTACCTTTAGATAAATGTTGGTATTATTGGTAACTTCACTTATAATGACAGCTTCTTGCAGGTTTAAAAGCTTTTGAAAATCCTCCAGAGCCTCATTTTTAGCTCCGGATGAAAGAGCTAGTATTGGAATCCTTGGAGATATATTTTTGAGTGCGTTAAGGTTTCCATATGAGATCTTGTACTCAGGGCAAGATCGAGAACAATATTGAAACTCATCTTAAAAATTTTTTGAAACAATGTTTTATAAAATAAACTATAATTACCTACCAATCACAATTCTCGCGAGGTCTCCTCTTAAAAAGTACTTCCTTATATGCCTTCTAAATAAAGCACTTCGGGCAACCCATTGGGCAGTCACAAAAAGAAAACTTATCCTAGATTTATTCAAATTAATCCTTTCGTGGATTTTTTTCGGTTCTGTAGCTCTACTGAAAGAATTCAACGTGGTGGATTTTATATTAAATTGCCTCAATTTTAATATTTGATCCGCGATTTTAGATACTGTCGGCTCTATAACGATAGTTATCTTATCTTGTACCATACAAGCTGGTAGCTGATATATCAAGCTCTTCCCGTAACCGGGCGGACATATGGTTATAACATTTTTCCCAGATAATAAAGCATTAATAGCTTCTATTTGCTTTGGACGGAAAGCTTCCAAATTAAATTTGTCTTGCAGCAAAACTTTGACTTCCCTATCCCAAGGATGATCTCTGGATGTCCAGTAGTTTGTGTTGGGGCGATTTTGCAATCTCAGAATGTCGCGGTTTTTCTTTATACGTCTCTGTAAAGCTTTAAGTTCAATTTGACGCAACCTGGCTTGGTGTCTTTCAAGATCCAGTATTAACAGTTCGTTGTCAACAATTTCAAGCTTGGATGATAGGCCTAAATTTATTAAATTTAAGACAAACTAAATTTAAATCAAACTCGGTACTCACCTCTAACCTCACTATCAACTGAAATATGGGTTTCGTAGGGTGGTGGTCGATCCGCCATAATGCACAACACTAATTAAAACCAAGAAGACTCAAAGCACAACTGAAGTGTTGAAGTACTGGTACGATTTATATTGCCTATAGCCGCACAATGTGACACTAATTGATCGGCAGTACAACGTCATACAAAGTATAGTATTTTTGTTTCAGTGTGTTTAAGCGATATACACTTTGGTTGCAAAATAACCCATTGTGCGTGATGACGTGTTTTTGAATTTTTCCTATGCCTTCTACGTGATAGTAACGTTAACAGAAATGATAACATTATTGATAAATATAAATTTTGCCAACTAATCAAAAGATAAAATCAGCGCGAACATATGAATTAAGGGTGAAGACAATTAATGTTAGGTTTAAGATTGGAAAGAGGTTTGACATTTCAGCATTCTGCGTAAGTTTCCTTGATGAGCCTCATATAGGCATTAATTGCGGAACGCAATATTGCCAAATGTCAGATAACTTAGACAAGACCATACATCTTACTCCATTCTCTGTTTTACTTTGATTTAATTAAATATAATTAATTATCCTCATGCATTTTAGATTTTTTTAAATTTTGTTTTGTCTATAAAAATTGACAAAAATACTTTTATCTATTTTGCCTTCAAATTAAATTAAGGACGGCATGGCGAATCGATTTTGACATTAACTGTCAAACCAATGACTGTGATACCAACTATCTAAAGTAAAATTCGACCAAAATTAATTTAAGGTATAAAATTAATTTTTTTTATAGTCCATTACAAAACTCGCTCCTTTATCGCTCGTTTGATAAATTGTCCGCGTGCGACAAAATGACGTCTTATGACTATTTTATACTCATATTTTATATTAATGTTATACATTATAACCCCGCCTAGCAACGGGAATAATGAATTTAATATTCCCGTTGCTAGGCATCAGCGATTCGCCGATTTCATTATTCACTGTGGTTTGGACGAACCAGGTAGCTTCAAACTAGCTAATTTCAAAACCATCATAGTCGTCCCTGGTATCCTAAATAAAATCCAAGAAGACTATCTATATACAGGTGAAGTAACTAATTATTTTTATCCCAATTGAGACAATATTATATTGTAATCACCCGGTATATAAAATATCTAATAAAGGTGATAAAGAATAAATTTTAATATAAATACAAACAATATTATAAAATAAACTGATATGATTGTGAGTGATTTTATAAATATGATAAACAAATGATTCAAGGTATAATTTGCCTATGTTAAATAATTAAATTTATAGGAATGCTATGTTATATACATATTTGTTTATTTATTTATATTGCTGTGTAGATATTGTAGAAATTGCGATTGCGGTGTAATAATCGGTCAATTTGTTAATGTATTTCTACTTATTATTAATTAATAATTAATAAAACTAAATAGTAAAGACCGCACTCTTAAGCGATGAAAACATTTTTTTGGGTTAAAAAAAATTAAAAATAAAATAAAAAAAAAAGTTTAATTTATGTTACAAAATCTTTTACGGCCCATAAAAATTAGCCATTTTGAATAGAATCCAGTCTGTACAAATATAAATACATAATATTAAATACATACACCTAAAATAATATTTTGTTTTTGAAACTTTTAATTTTAAAATCACTTGTACAGGGCCAACCAAAATATTATGCAACTATAACAAAGTTATGATTTATTTAGTTTCTATATAAACTTTTGATTTTTTGCATGATATAAAGGGTCTCAAAAGTCATAGACAGCAAAAAGGGTTGTATATATATTGCTAAGCCATAAATTTACAAATTTTTAATCTTTCTAAAATTAAGCAAGATTCAGAGTAAAACCGAATATAGGGAAACGTATCGGGCGTGGCCTCGCCTCCCTCCAACGCGCGACACAGTATCTAAGCAAATAGCCTGCATCGCTAATGAGATTTTTTGCATTTTTATCATTTAATTTTTAAGGTCGTCTTACCTGCTCGACCTTTCGTCATGTCGTTAATCACACAAGCTACTGTGACGCGCGTTGGAGGGAGGCGAGGCGAAGCCCGATACGTATATTCGGTTTAACTCTGAACAGGCTATATATCATTTTTTTAGTACTTAAGCTAATTTTTAGCATTTCGCTGGGATTGCACAAAATGCAGATTGGTTAAAATTTATACTTTTTAAAATTAGTAAAAACCGTTCCTTTGTTTTGATTGTAGGTGTAAAATTGCTTGAGCAGCAGAGTAGAGAGCGCATTTGAGTTTAGCAAAACGTAGCAGTGGAAAGTTAGACGTTCATGAAGTTTAGTTTCGGCTTTATCCTTTCGTAATGAAGTTAGAGACAACAGCAATCAAAACGTAGAACATTCCTTAAGATAAAACATTTCGATAGAGGAGCGCACCACCTCTTGACATTCTTAACTAACTCGGATACTCCACCCCTTTAAGCCACCCATTTTCCCCAAAAAACTTTCCATAATTATTTAAGACGAATTCTTAAAAAGGACATCTTACTAATCCCAGGATTATAAGCATATAATTTATTTGCGTTACGAAAACAAACTTACAAACAATTGTACTGTTTAAATTAAATAACTTTTTTGGCAGTAAACTATAACTTAAATTCGGGCACGGACTCATAAAACATTTTCTTTACTTTCACTGTAAAAAACTGTCAATTTTCAAGAAATACATTTCGATTTATAACCTTTATAATCTGTGTTTATAAAATATGAAAATTTGACATTTGACGGTGACACACAGATTCCCCTATTGTTTCATAGATGGCGCTCTATAAAAATATTCGCAAGTCCGCTCGTGCCTAAATTAAATTCGTCTATAAAATGGCGTTTATCAAACTTGATACATATAATACTATTACTTGTTCTTATCATGTCGGCTGTGACTTTGTAGGTATTAAGAAATATTATAGTATTTATAATCCCTCAGAAGAAAATATAACTTAGCCCAAAAAAGTTGTGTAGCTAAATGTGCAGTGAAATAAAACTCGTGTTAAAAGTGATATTAATCTTGGGATTTTGTTTTCACAACCAGGTAATACCTGCATTCGGCTACATTGTGGCATAAAGTGGCCATTTTTACGGCCGGACTATAAAATTAAATAAAATTAAAACCGCAAAAACTGACATAAAACATATTTTGCGCTTTTAATTTTCATTGTGGAAAAATTCTCCGCTTTACAGCTATTTTATTTACACAAAATTAATTTAGTTCAACAAACATTTATTTGACAATTTTTTAGTTTATATTCCCGTTTAGGTAATAAAATCTGTTTCTCAAGTTTTCGTGTTATTTTTTACAAGATACATTCCAATTTAAAAATGTATGGTTTTTATTGACGGATGAGTTTATTATAGGATATACTTCGGGGAACTTGGAGTTTGTCATAGATAAATGGATGTATTTTACATATCGCAAGGAAAAAAGTCGGATGGAAAAATTGACACAAATAGAACGGCTGCATTTTTATAATCGATTAAGGAAATTCAATTATGTCGAAGTCACTTTAATTCTATCCGACATTTTTTATTCCCAAGATAAAATAATTACACGTTTAGGTACTTATAAGTTATTTTTACAGTACACAAAAACGGTAAAATAACGGTACAAATAGTTTTTAATAGTTTAATTTTTATTACCAAAGTAATGCGAAGTTATCTAATAGTTTGAGCAAATTGTTTGCCCCACTGTGCGAAACCATTTCTTTAGTCTAGAGGTCGAGAACCATCGATAGATAGTTTTCGATAGTCGGCAATGTAACTAACGTAAAGTAACGTTATTTTATTCTTCTCTAACAAGTAGAATGTTGTATTTATTTTATTAAATTAATTAAAGGACAAATGTTAAGAGCAATTATAAGTGTTGTGGCTCCCAGAAGGCTATTACTTTAATACTGACTAAACTTAAGGTTCTTTATTATTTAGATACCTTATTATTACAAGATTATGACCCAAGCCGTTTATTATTTGAATATAAACTGTGTAAAGTATATCTAGACGATTTGGGGTGCGTGAAAATATTCCCTCCAGACGTAATTTGAACAGAGTAGGTATATTTGAGATGAAGCTTTTAACAGCTTAAGTTTAGGTGAACAAATGTCTTAATTCGGTTTCGAGACTTCGGATTTCGAATCCTAGACATTACAGAAAATTAAAGGTGACATTAGAAGAATTATTAAGTTTTAAATGGGGTCGTATTTAAATCAAATGCCACCTGGTGTTTTTCTCCTATTTTTGAGTTTTGATGAAAAAGTTTGTTTGTCTATTTGATTATACACGCTGTTAAAAAAAATTCGGCTTGGTTTAAAAACCCAATGGAATTTTACAGTTGACTAATATGCCGTTTTGTTTTTATAATTAGGGTGTGCATATTAGGCAATTAGTTTTACATTTGCTGAAAACCAATAACGGAATCAGCTAATTGTATAAACGACATCTGCTCTAATCTATTTCATTCTAATGATTATTAATTAATTGTGCAGAGCAACGCTCGCACTAAGCAGACTGATATACAGTGTGTTTAACAAATTCAGCATTTGTTTACAAAATTGCAATTTTATATCAGAATCACTATCAATCAATTCTTGTACCCAAAAACGGCATGTAAAATGTTAATTAAACAATAACCAAGCGAAAAAATATGAATGGTGGGGGGAAAAATGAAAATGTTTCCATGACACTAAGTGACCTTTTAAATACACATTGACAAGTTGTGGCTTTATGGCGCTTTAGTCACGGGCTGAAGTTAGCAACAGGTTTTTAGTCACGGGCTGAACTTAGTTTTAAGTTAGTTGACAGTTGTCAAATGTCATACAATCGTTAAAATAAATTGCCTTTCTTGTAAAATAATACTAAATGTGAAAATTATTTTATTATTTCAATACAAAAATACAAAAGTATTAAATTGTTTCTCAACGCCAATATTTGAAAAGTTTATAAGAAGATTGTACTGATCTTTTAATTTCGCCGGCAGTAAACTATAACTTAAATTCGGACCCGGACTCCACTGTAAAGTGCTTATAAAACATTTTCTTTACTTTCACTGTGAAAAACTGTCAATTTT